GGGGTGGGGGGAGGGGTGGTGGGGGGAGGGGTGGTGGTGGGGGGAGAGTGGGTGGGGAGTAGTGGGGGGAGAGTGGGTGGAGCGTAGTGGCGGGAGAGTGGGTGGGGGGTAGTGGGTGGAGAGTGGGTGAGTGGGTGTGAGTGAGTGGGGTGGGTGGAGGGTAGTGGGTGGGTGGGGGTGGGTGATGGGGGGTAGTGGGTGGGGGTAGTGGGTGGGGTAGTGGGGGGGTAGTGGGTGGGTCCAGACGGATGCACACCAGGGAGGTATGAGTGGCGAGAGAGAGAAAACTGATGAATGATGCGAGGTGGGAGAGAGAGGAGGGGGAGGAGGAGGGAGGGAGAGAGGAGGAGGAGGGAGAGAGGAGGGGGAGGAGGAGGGAGAGAGGAGGGGGAGGAGGAGGAGGGGGGGAGGAGGAGGGAGAGAGGAGGTGGAGGAGGGAGAGAGGAGGTGGAGGAGGGAGAGAGGAGGGGGAGGAGGAGGAGGAGGGGGAGGAGGTGGAGGGAGAGAGGAGGGGGAGGAGGTGGAGGGAGAGAGGAGGGAGGAGGAGGGAGAGAGGAGGGGGAGGAGGGAGAAGGGGGAGGGAGGCGTGAGGGTGACATCATCTCTCCACCGACCCACTTCTCTCCAAGCCTCCCATTGGCTGACTAACAATAGCTGAGAAAAGCGTGGGGAGAGACGCGGTGTCCCTGAAATTATTATATAACGTCATCATTATTATTCATTGTCGGTGATGGAGGTGGTGATGGTGGTGGTGATGGTGGTGGGGGTGATGATGATGGTGGTGGTGATGATGATGGTGGTGGTGATGGTGATGATGATTGTGGTGATGGTGGTGGTGATGGTGGTGGTGATGGTGGTGGTGATAATGGTGGTGGTGATGATGGTGGTGGTGATGATGGTGGTGTTGATGGTTATTATGGTTATGATGGTGATGATCATGGTGGTGATGGTGATGGTGGTGATGATGGTGGTGGTGGTGATGATGGTGGTGGTGGTGATGGTGGTGGTGGTGGTGATAGTGGTGGTGGTGATGATGGTGGTGGTGGTGGTGGTGATGGTGATGATGGTGGTGGTGGTGATGGTGATGGTGGTGATGGTGGTGGTGATGGTGGTGATGGTGGTGGTGGTGATGGTGGTGGTGGTGATGGTGATGATGGTGGTGGTGATGATCATGGTGATGATGATGGTGATGATGGTGGTGGTAGTGGTAATGATGATGGTGGTGATGATGGTGGTGATGATGGTGATGGTGGTGATGGTGATGTTGGTGATGGTGAGGATGGTGATGATGGTGGTGATGATGGTGATGGTGGTGATGATGGTGATGGTGGTGATGATGGTGGTGGTGATGATGGTGATGGTGGTGATGATGGTGGTGGTGATGATGGTGGTGGTGATGATGGTGGTGGTGATGATGATGATGGTGATGATGGTGATGATGATGATGATGGTGGTGATGATGGTGGTGGTGGTAATGATGATGGTGGTGATGATGATGGTGGTGGCGATGGTGATGATCTTGATGATGGTGGTGATGGTGGAGATGATGGTGGTGGTGATGATGGTGGTGATGATGGTGGTGATGATGATGGTGGTGATGATGGTTGTGATGATGGTGATGATGGTGATGATGGTGATGGTGATGATGGTGTTGGTGGTGGTGATGATGGTGGTGATGATGGTGGTGATGATGATGATGGTGGTGGTGATGATGGTGATTATGGTGATGGTGGTGATGGTGATGGTGGTGATGATGGTGATGATGGTGGTGATGATGATGGTGGTGATGATGATGGTGGTGGTGATGATGGTGGTGATGGTGATGACGATGGTGGTGATGATGGTGGTGGTGATGGTGGTGGTGATGATGGTGGTGATGATGGTGATGATGGTGGTGATGATGGTGATGATGGTGGTGATGATGGTGGTGGTGATGATGGTGATGATGATGGTGGTAATGGTGATGATGGTGTTGATGATGGTGGTGGTGTTGATGCTGGTGATGATGGTGGTGATGATGATGATGATGTTGATGATGGTGGTGATGATGGTGATGATGGTGATGGTGGTGATGATGGTGGTGATGATGGTGATGGTGGTGATGGTGATAATGATGGTGATGATGATGGTGATGATGGTGGTGGTGATGATGGTGGTGATGATGGTGGTGATGATGATGGTGATCGTGGTGATGATGGTGGTGATGATGGTGGTGATGGTGGTGGTGATGATGGTGGTGATGGTGGTGGTGATGATGGTGGTGATGATGATTGTGATGGTGGTGGTGATGATGGTGGTGATGATGGTGATGATGGTGATGGTGATGATGGTGGTGATGATGGTGATGATGGTGATGGTGGTGGTGATGATGGTGGTGATGATGGTGGTGATGATGGTAGTGATGGTGGTGATGCTGGTGGTGATGATGGTGGTGATGGTGGTGGTGATGATGGTGGTGATGGTGGTGGTGATGATGGTGGTGATGATGATGGTGATGGTGGTGGTGATGATGGTGGTGATGATGGTGATGATGGTGATGGTGGTGGTGATGATGGTGGTGATGATGGTGGTGATGGTGGTGGTGGTGATGATGGTGATGGTGATGATGGTGGTGGTGATGATGGTCGTGATGATGGTGATGGTGATGATGGTGGTGGTGATGATGGTCGTGATGATGGTGATGATGGTGATGGTGGTGGTGGTGATGGTGGTGATGATGGTGGTGATGATGGTGGTGATGATGGTGATGATGATGGTGGTGATGATGGTGGTGGTGATGATGGTGGTGATGGTGGTGATGATGATGGTGATGATGGTGGTGATGATGATGGTGATGATGGTGATGGTGGTGATGATGGTGGTGATGGTGGTGATGATGGTGGTGATGATGGTGATGGTGGTGATGATGATGGTGATGATGGTGATGGTGGTGATGATGGTGGTGATGATGATGGTGGTGATGATGATGGTGGTGATGATGATGGTGATGGTGGTGATGGTGGTGGTGATGGTGGTGGTGATGATGGTGGTGATGATGATGGTGATCGTGGTGATGATGGTGATGATGGTGGTGGTGATGATGATGGTGGTGATGGTGATGGTGGTGATGATGGTGGTGATGGTGGTGATGATGGTGGTGATGATGGTGGTGATGATGGTGATGATGATGGTGGTGATGGTGGTGATGATTATGGTGATGATGATGATGGTGGTGATGGTGGTGATGATGATGGTGATGATGGTATTTGGTTAAGGAGCGGTGGTGCAGCGGTTAGCGCTCCGCCGTTCTCCCATCCCGGCGGTCCCCAAATTCTATTACCGCTCACGGCCTGCACCGGTGGGAGCGAGAATCTGAACCGGTCCTGGGCCACCCCTAGGTCGGCTCGGCCTCAAATGGAGTAGCTGCTGCTGCTGCGGTGGTGGTGTGTGGTGTGCGGTAGTGAACATCGCCAGCACTGGGGGAGAGACAAAGGCGGCCGGGCGTGGTGCTGGCCGCTCAGCCTGCTCGTGTGCCACAGCGCCCGGTAGCCTTCATGGAGAGCACTTGCCCCGACAGTCTGTTAAGGCTACACGGGGGATGTTTGTCTTTGGTGTTATTATTCGAATAATAATTCGTTGTTAAATTTCGATTTAAAGCTTTCGTGACTGCAAGGATTCATCTTCTTTGGTTCTTTCGGTAAAGTCACGCAGAATGAGAATAAAATAATAAATTGATAAATTAAAATAACACAATGATATTCTCACGACGTTTCGGCCACAACACAAGCGGCCTTCATCAGGTGAAGGGACGAGACTGTCTGGTAGGACAGAGCTGGAGTGATCTGAGCGTGGCTTTTTCACTCCAGCGCTGTCCTACCAGACAGTCTCGTCCCTTCACCCGATGAAGGCCGCTTGTGTTGTGGCCGAAACGTCGTGAGAATATCATTGTGTTATTTTATTTTATCAATTTATTATTTTATTCTCATTCTACGTGACTTTACCGAAAGAACCAAAGAAGATAATTCATTGTTGTTAATATGAACATTTTGATTATAATAAAAATTGGAAACAAGCTGAGATTAGGAGCACTCCCTTTAAGAGTGTGCTCCTAATCTCAGCTCGTTACCTGTATAAAAGACACCTGGGAGCCAGAAATCTTTTCGATTGAGAGGGGGTCAAATACTTGTTTTCCCTCATTAAAATGCAAATTAATTTATAAAAAAAATTTACATGCGTTTTTATGGATTTTGTTGTTGTTATTCTGTCTCTCACTGTTCAAATAAACCTACCATTAAAATTATAGACTGATAATTTCTTTGTCAGTGGGCAAACGTACAAAATCAGCAGAGGATCAAATACTTTTTTCCCTCACTGAAGCTCAATGGAACTGAGACCCATAGAGACACACAGAGACACATAGAGACCCACAGAGACACATAGAGACCTACAGAGAGATATAGAGACCCACAGAGACCCACAGAGACACATAGAGATACATAGAGACCCACAGAGACCCACAGGGACCCACAGAGACACACAGAGACCCATAGAGACCCATCGAGTCCCATAGAGACCCACAGAGACACATAGAGACCCATAGAGACCCACAGGCACATATAGAGACCCACAGAGACACATAGAGACCCACAGAGACACATAGAGACCCATAGAGACCCATCGAGTCCCATAGAGACCCACAGAGACACATAGAGACCCATAGAGACCCACAGGGACATATAGAGACCCACAGAGACACATAGAGACCCACAGAGACATACAGAGACGCATAGAGACCCATAGAGACCCACAGATACACACAGAGACACACAGAGACCCATAGAGACCCACAGAGACACACAGGGACCCACAGAGACCCACAGAGACACACAGAGACCCACAGAGACCCATAGAGACCCACAGAGACACACAGGGACCCACAGAGACCCACAAAGACACACAGAGACCCACAGAGACCCACAGAGACCCACAGAGACCCATAGAGACCCACAGAGACACACAGA